AAGCAAAATATTAAATCATGATGTAAAAAATACTACATATTTTTAAAATAGTTATTTTCTGTGTAAGAAAAAATACCATTCATTTTTTTTTTACTAGGAGCAAGAATTTCCCAAGACCAGTGTGTTTATTCCTATTTAAGAAATTGTATTGTATTTGGATGTGATTGCCAAATAATAATTATTTATTATTATTATTGATTGCATATTAATGTGCAAAAATTTTTTTATTTATAGTGCAAGGCACTTAATCCCGCAACTTACTACGCCTCAACAACAGATTTGAAAAAATCCCGATCACGTGATAGTCTACGATCAATCCATAAATGGGAGAAATCGGCAATAATAATATTAATATTAACAAGTTTTTAAACGAAAACGTGACAGTGAGCTTCGTGTCTTTTACTCACACAACAACATCACTGTCACGACAATAATAGTCTATTTTATCAATTCAAAAAAATACAAATAGGATGGCCATCCCCACATTTTTTTTTCGTTTTTTTCGTAGAGAAATTCCTCTCAGGCATTTCAGTGCACGGAATTCAACTTTCTATGTCCCTGTCCATCTTCAAGTAATTAAGTTTACAGAAAATGAGCACATTCAAACCATGAAATCATTTATCATTATACAACATTATACAAGATGGTTGAAAAATAAAAATACCACTGCGCCAAGTGTTTCATTGCATCACAATAATAAAAATACATGATTCAATTGATTCAATCATTTACATTTTGACCCACGCAATTGTTGATCGACCAATCAAAATTGTGAATTTGATAATGTAAAAAAATAAACGTTAATATAAAACATTGATTCATTTTGTCAACAATCACTTCACCAACAGTTGTTTCGTTAACAAATGGTTCGAATTTAAGAAGTTGGAAGCAACCATTTGAAATAGTCTAATAGATTAAATTGTACTACTCGAAAATGTATTTAAAGAGTTGGTTTTCGACTTGGTTGAATAACTCTCTTCCTAACTCTTCTCCTGACCATATCTCTCGAAAATGATTGTAAACGTGACCAATTTAAGATATACGATCAAGAGGAAATATGGACGATCTATGAAAAATTCAAACAAAATTTACAACTCAAAAAAATTTTTTTTGCATGTAATAAATTCCATTATTAACTATTAACAATCTAATTATATAGATCTTGACTAATCAAATCCGCCTATATAGTTATTGAATAATTGATAATAATAAAACGTTAATTAAATATATTTTACAAACAGCTTCGTAAATCTCGACTTTAAGACTTACTTTGATCAAACCCACCTATAATAATAAACGTTCATTTTGGAAACTTGATTTGTAAATAAATCTTGACTTTAACACTTACTTCCCCTATAAAAAATTTGCATACGGAAATTTCTTATAAATTATAATTTTTATTGCTATGAAATGATTATTATTAGTTATTATTATTATTATAAAAGATACGGATTTATTCAGGAAAAAATTGTAAAATTAAAATATACAGAAATTCGCAATTTTCCATACACGAGGTTTTATTTAAAAAAACGTATCAAATTAACTGAAATTACGTATATTTGATCTATTACTATAGAAATTTATATACGGAAATTCCGTATGAATTACAATTTTTATTGCTATTACTATGGAAAATGATTATTATAAAAGATACGGAATTATTCTGGAAAAAAATTGTAAAATATATGGAAATTCGCAATTTTTCTGTATTAATATCATAATAATAAGAAAAAACATATCAATAGTCGTGTGTCATATCCCTGAGACTGCTTTTCTATATTAATATGTGAATAAATTCGAAATTCGTGTCACATGAAGTTTTTTTAAAATATCTCGTTATTTTTATAATAAACTCGAACTTCGTTGTAAAATAAAAATATTCCATTAAAACTTTCTAATGAATACTCTTCATATCAAAAGGTATTTTCTAGATGAATTAATGGCTGTTCAAAAATGGTATTACTTTTTCACTTCAAAGCTCAGATTATTTCTCAATATCGCTTTAAAAGACTTGATAATGAATGAGAAGGTGTAAGATACTTTAAGCTTTCATACGGTCATTACTTTATGGGAGGTATGGTTAATAAGTTTTAAAGAGTTTCGCGAAAAACTATTTTATAGAAATTTAATAGTCATGAGGAATTTATGTAGATGGAATTCGGCAAAAACTAAAAGGTATTTTATTAGTGATTGTTTTATATTTCTGACTTTATATTGATTAAAGTTTCATTAACATCAGAAATTTTTCTGATGCGGATTTACATAATTATTACACTATTTATGTAAGTTTACGGCGGGCCTGTAATATTATGCAAACATGCATACAAAAATTATGCAATTATTACATTGAGTGTAAATATTACATAATTTTTTATGCAAATTTTACATCTTTACATATTAAAATTTACGGACGTAATATTGCGGCGGGGAAAATTTTTTGATGAATGATTATTACGAATATCCATCAATAAGTAGTTGTTATAGCAACATTAAACAATAATATCAGTAGCAACAAATAACAAACGACAACAACGAATCATCTTTTTTGAGTATGATAATAAAGATTAAGATCGAAGTAAGCATTAAGGACAAGATCTATGAAGCTTGCAAAATATATTAACGAACATTTTATCAATTATTCAATAGTTTGTATAGGAGTGATCGAAATAAGAGTTAAGGACAAGATCTATTAACAAAACATACAAACGAATATTTTATCAATTATTCAATAGTTGTATTTATTATTTATTTATGTATATAAATCTCTATGATAAATAATTAAATAAAGAAAGTCAGAGATAAAACACCTTTTAATTTAATCATCATTGTTGCTTGTTTATTATTCTAATCATTATTTATGTATATAGGTAAAGAAAAATTTTAATATCTACAGTATTTATGTATTATATTTACTTTTAAAATAAATGATTTTATTTTAAAGACATACCTAAGTAATCAAAAATCTGTAAATATTCATAATAATGTAATATTTGGACATTTATTTCTACCTATACTTGCAATTGGACGCGGCGTCAAACAAAATTTTACATATAAAGGCAAAATTTGATTTTGAGGGTCAGATTATTTTCGGTTTATTAACAACCTGCTTTTAAAAAAATTTCTTAAAGCAGATACATATGATAAAAAAGTTACATCTCAAATTTGGTGGTAGTTGCTACATAGCAAGGGTATCAAACGAGGGTGTGAAGACATTCGATCGAATTTTACTATGATGCAGATCATCCAAGTTTTACAACCCCATATAGAACTATCACAACGATTATGTAATAATAATAATTGCATCGCTCAAGAATAAGACCATGCAGAAATGAAACTTTTAAGAACCAATTTTGAAAAAAAACATATTCGGTTGAGAAAGTTGGAAAATAAACCATTGTCGGATTTTAATCTGAGCCTCTTTTCCAAGTAAGACAAGGTCCCACTTCCATTTTCATCCAAGCGATAGTGGAAAATTTTTAATACCCAAGTCTCTAATTGGTCCCTTCATTTTGTGTGTGCTTTAAAAACAATGTTAATAATGATATAATAGATGCAGATAATATTAATAATGATATTGGTTATTTAGAAAGTGGAGTCAATGTAGAAATCGATAACGTCTAAAAATACAAACAATTATATTTTTTACAAAAACTTTAATTCAAATTTTTTTACTTGGTCATGATTTTTGTACGTCAAGGGTTTTTGTTTTACGTTAAAGTTTTTATACTTTTGACAAACAAACAATATTAAATGAGACAAAAATGGGAATAAAAACGTGTGATTCTGATGAATTTAGTTATTTTATTTTAATAATAAAATAAATTTAATAAAAACATAAAGAATAATTAAATAAATTGTTAAAATATTAACTATCTACTTATCAACAAAACAATTCTCCAACTTTACTTTACAAGTATATTAGATCAATTTTTTATGGACACTTCAACTTCCCACATTGCGCACAGGATACACGGTAACCATAGTCGCAAGCTTTACCGGAGGGACTACATTCATATACGTGAGAGGTGGGACAAGCTGAAAAAGGAACCAAAAAAATTCAAAATGGAAAGAAATAAATCATATTATTATTATGCACAAATAAACTAGATGCCATTACTTACCACCCCAACTACCACAGTACTGTCCTTGCGGAGTTCAAACATAACAACGACATGGGGTATTATAATTGCAAGCGGAAGAAACGACAGAAATAAATATTTGGAAAAAAACGAAAAGTACAAGATATTTGAGTGCCATAACTATAAATTGAAACTAAAAGAAACATAACAATTAAAATTAAGTTTAAAATATAATTCGAAAGAAAAGTAAAAGACAGACCTTTTGTTGTAAAATAAAATCAACGCAAGTTATTAATTAACAATAGTAAAGAAAGAAGTAAAAGAAAGAAGTAAAAAAGAAGTATTTATATATAAAACTATCTTTCATGATTTACGTATTAAACACTATAATAATAATAAAATTTTTGACGTCAACGGGGCACCTGCATATTAAACCAAATTCAGAAATTAATAAGTTTAATTTTTTTGCGGAATATTAAATTATGCATGCAACTCTTGGTAACCAGCATTGTTCGTAAGGTCTCTCTTAATTAATCAAAAAGGTTCTTTATTGTTTAGTTAATCAAAAATGTTCTTTATTATACAGGTTGGAACCAGTTGGATATAATAGACTTAAAACCGGCTCCTATTTTTCATAATCGATAAACCAGATATAATGAAACCGGTCTATTTCGGGCAACCGGATTTA